CTGGTGCAGTGTGAGGAAAATAATTAGTTGGAAATAAGTTGCATAATATATATATTTTTTTTCCAGTAGATTTTTCTTTGCATGCATATTGGGATCAGCTAAACTTTGCACAACTGGCAGAGGGGGTGAATTGATAACTTTTTCTCTGTCATGCTCCTTCAGCTTTTCTAGCATGTTAATTCTACCTTTCTTTTTCAACCTATAACAGTCCGTTAAGCGTTTGTGCCCTTTCACATGCTTTGTCCAATTTGGTGCCTCATTCTGATACACCAGAGACATTTTTGTGACTTATTAACTTTTGTAGGAGTAAAATCTGCTCACTCAATTTTTTTTTTTTTACTCAATTTATGATTGTCAAAGCATTAGGGTATTTTTGTTCAGCAAACAAACATATTTTCTACAGATTTTTGGCTCAATAACTACAGTGATGAAAAGATGGAGCTACTCTGTGTTGTGTTCATTGTTTGACCTCCATTACAACAATACAAAGACAGCTGGTTTTTTAAATCTGATGTGTCTCCTCTTAGCTTGTTGTCAGTTTATGTGCCTGTCAGAAAATTAACAAGCAGAAAAAACACAGCCTGTGTGGCCTCCTTGAGGTTACAGGGAGGCTGCCAGGGGTCAGGGGCTGCCAGTTTGCTGGTAAAAAGTGGCTTATTTGAACCCAGAACTTCTATTTTATTCATGTTTTTCATGCATTTTACAATCAGCTACAGCTGCAGGCAGTACCTTATTAGCATGGTTTAACATTAAGATCCAAAGCTTTTAATTTTCTATAAAAGATGAGATGATACATTCTAGTTATAAAACAAAGGTGCTGGCTGGCAGATTTTTGAACTAGTGGACATCCACTAGTCCCCACACTTCACTTCTCTATGCTAAGCTAACGGTCTCTTGGGGCTACTTTCCTATTTATGTGTATGTGAATTTAATGTAAACTGTTTGCAAGAGAAACAACTATATTATTTTTTACCCAAATGCATATGTTTTACTAAATAATAAGAATACTTTAAGCTAAAATAAAACTAAAACAAGCATTTTTAGGGTGTTAATTGTCATATAAATATTATACATATTTATATTATGCATGTTTAAGTGGTCAGAAAATGTCATCCAGTGTTTTGGGAACTTTTCAAATCTTTCCTGACTTTTTCCACATTACACAGCCTAAAAAATACTAAATATTTGAATACTTGCAGTCCCAATTCTCCATCTGTGGGCTCAGCTTACAAATCAGGCATTTCTGAGCTGATGTTTCTTTTTTTTTGCAGTGTGCCATGGATCCAAAGCATTGTGGTTGCTGTTGCCAAAGAAAACATGGACCTGATGACGGACATCATCCAGCGGTTTAAACACAGAAAGGTTCGTGCGGTGCCAGGAGGCTCGACACGTCACAGGTCGATATGTAATGGAGTCCTGGCTCTGGGTGAGGAGGAGAGGCCAGCAGTGGGCAGACCGAAGGTTGTCATCATACATGATGCTGTTCGGCCTTTTGTGGAGGAGGATTTTCTGTGCAAGATAGCAATGGCTGCCAAGGAACAAGGGGTTAGTGTGATTAAAATGATTAATATTTAAAAAATTAATCACGTATTGGAACCTAACCTGAAATCCACCCAACATGTTGTTACATTTGCTGCTTATTTTGTGTGTTCTTTGTAACAGAGTTTTCATCCTTAGATTGTCTTATTTCCAGCACCTCAAATCTGATCTTTCCTGGAGTAATCTATTACATGGTCATGTAATCATCCTCTGTGTGTATGTTCCTCTTTTGCTTCTGCCTTGTAATGATTGTTCTTAAAATATCTTCAAACTTTAATATATAAGAAAAGCTGGCTCATAGCCAGTAAAAAAGAGGGAAGAAAACATTGTTTGTGATGCCAGTAATACTTTGTTTACAAAAGTAAAAAATAATAAACATGACATCTGAGGAATCAGAGGTAAGTCGTGGCATGGAGGCATAGATAAGTGAAGTGTAAGTGAGGTGGTCTGGGCATCAAAGCGAGAACAACAAATGGAAACCTGGAGGTGTCATTCCGAGGAGGTAAATGGACTGGTTCTTATATAGCGCTTTTCTACTCTGTCCGAGCACTCAAAGCGCTTTATACAGCTAATTCATTCACCCAATCACACCCATTCACACAAGCACTTCTAAGCATTCATACACATTCACACTCCGATGGATGCATCGGAGAGCAACATGGGGTTAGTATCTTGCCCAAGGATATTTGGCATGCAGACTGGAGCAGCCTGGGATTGAACCACCGACCTTCTGGTTAGCGGCTGATCCGCTCTGCTACCCGAGCTACAGCCACCCCAATGTAGAGCGAGATGACGCTCAGGCTTACTTGAGGTATAATGCAAACCCTGCACAGATCAGTCAGTGGAATGACTCTGTCCACCACCGAGCCTCTGCAGGAGAAAACCTGGCAAAGCATACAGGAAAGGTACTCGGCCTAACTTGACTCGCTTATCTATAGAGCTTGGGAGCACACAGCTCGGCAGACAACAAAACACAGGAAGACTGTAACAATATATACATGAGAGGTAACGAGGGAAGGAGAAACAGATGGGGAACTAAACACAGCTGAAAGCAATCTAGACAATGAGCAGGGGGAAGGTTAAACACAATACAGGAGCTGTACACAAGATACAAACAAACCACTATCAAAATAAAACAGGAAATAAAACAACTAAACATGGAAACAGCAAGGCAGTGGAACACTAAAAGGCAAAAGAAAACACAGAGACAAGACTGGAGGAACAGAATGGAAACAGCAACTGTTAAGAACAGTAAAGTAAATACTAACCCAAACATAGAACCACAAACCTAAACTGCACGTCTTGAATAATCAGCTAAACACAAACAAGAGCCACTGGGAAAGTATAATACATAAAACCAAACATATAAACAATGTTATATTTAAAAATAAACACCAGTCAAACATAAATCACGTCAAAAAACAATGACAAAAACAGGATATCTGAAGGTGTTACCGTCAACTAGGAAGGAGTCATTACTTAAAGCTAGTTTCTAAAACCAAACGTCCTCATTTTTATACGGTGTTTCCATCTTCTCTACCTGTCCTGCCACCACCACTTTTGAGTCTTACACTGCCATCACATTAATAGCAGTGTAAGGTTGGACAGCTCTTTTAAACTCGAGAAACAAATCTCCTCTGTGGTAAAAAACAGTTTCTACCAGCTGCATCAGATATCTAAAGCAAAGCCATAACTTCCTTTGAAGGACCTTGAAAAGCTCATTCACGCTCTTATCACTTCCAAATTAGACTACTAATTCTCTCTACTCGGGCCTCCCATCTTCCTCTATTCACCGGCTCCAGTTAGTTCAAAACGCAGCTGTGCGTCTCTTAACTGGTACTAGAAATTATGCCCACATCACACCAGTTTTAGCCAACCTACATTGGCTCCCTGTTGATTATCGTATCAATTTCAAAATTCTTTTGCTTACCTTTAAAATTTTATTTGTATATCCCTAACAAGGCACTTAGATCTTCCAATCAAAAGCTCCTGACGCAACCGAGGTCTCGTCTGAAGTCCAGAGGTGATCGGGCCTTTGCAGTCATAGCTCCCAGACTCTGAAATAACCTCCCTCCTTATATTCG